TGTGTGTGTGTGTGTGTTTGTATGTGTGTGTCCCACTGACCTTTCCGTTGGAGCAGCAGAGAGACAGGCTGCCCTGTGGGTAGCGAGGCCCGAGGAGGCCGTAGGTCAGACTGCCGCCCTCTTCGCTGCTCGCCGCGCCACATGCAGCTCCGTTGCCGACGGGACCGCCGTGTCCACCGCCTCCACCCGCTCCGCTCGCACTGCCCAGCGTCGTCATGCTGCTCGCGATGCCGGCCGACGCCAGTCCCAGTCTTGGGATCGAGTCCCGCCCGACGCTGGGAACAGCGGCAGCGGCAGTTGCCATGGCCGCGGAATAGGCAAAACTCGGAGCGTTTTGCCCGACCGGACCGGTCGGGCAGTAGAAGTAGGGCTGCGGCGAGACGAGGGGTGGTCGGCCGGGCGGCCCGGAGAATCCGGCGAGTCCGGCGAGTCCGGCGAGTCCGGTTTGAGGGTGTGAGGAGTGACCGAGCGAGGCGGGCGTGAAGAACATGCCGTTGAGCAACATGAGTCCGGGCGTCGAGCCGAGGACGGCGGAGACGGCGGCGGCCGCGGCGATTCGAGCCGCGGCCGAGTCGAGCTCGACGGGTTGCGAGGGGCTGTGTGGCAGTCGGCAGGCCGACTGGCCGTGGTCGGCGGTACCGAATTGGCTGGGCAGTCGGTGCTGGTGGGCGAGGGGGGCGCGCGTCGACGCGCCGGAGACAAGCGGTAACTGGGGCCCGAGTTGACTGGGCGTCGGCGACAGGCCGAGCAGACTCGAGAAGGACTGATGCAACGGACTGGACGGATTCTCCGGCTCGGTCGAGCCGAGCGCCGACGATTTGGACTGACTGCGGCCGGTCAGCGCGAAGGGCACTCGTTGCCGGCCCGACGGCAGACCGTCTGAACGGCAAGACAAACCCGGTTGGACAGAGGCTATTTGGGCACATGGTTACATCTCTTTCCCGGCCATCGCCGGGACAACATGTTTCCGCTTCAACTACTTTCACTTGGCCCACAAAACGGATCAGACAAATCAGTGTCGCCTTTCCCCATCAACCTCGACTCATTCAACGAGCACTTTCGTTTCCGCCAAAAAATATTCTCATCAGTCTCTGAAGCCTACTACTGTCTTTTAAGATAAGTAGCATAATGGATAGATTTTGTGTGGAAATGGCTGAAGAGATGCGATCACACTGACTTACTTTACAAAAGATTTTTCGTTTCATTCTGCGCTAAAGTCAAAATCTACTCGCGTCGCTTGTAAGTAGCATCGTCCATTTAAAAAAAAACAAACACCTGTAAGCCTTAATAGTCATGATCTGGCCACAAATTATGTTTATGAGTAAGGCTGAGAAATGGAAGTGGTGTCAAGACCCTAGTCGAGGTGAGATGATAGAACTTTTTGGAAAAAAATATTAAATGCAATTTTTTGGAATCATAAAATCTGCTTCTTCATTTGCGGATGGAAAACGCTGTTGTTAACACTTAAATTACAACACTCTTTTTGTTATTACAAAATCAATAACTCTGACTTTACAAAGAGAAGGTCTTTTGATGAAAAAATTCTTAGAACCTGGTCAGAGTGAAAGTTGACCATACAGTTAGGACTTAATAGTTGGCCAATATTCTTAGAGATGACTTTAGCTGATATTGACAAACGGCAGACTTTTTTACCCCTTGCAGACCTGATTTAACGACATAGGAATGGCATTTTAGGAAATATGAAGACTATGAGAAATGGGAAAATACGTGTAGCGATTATTTGGATAATTTGTTTGCGAATTTGAGAGGCTGAAGTCAATCACTATCGCAATGTCATCCAATCCATTAGGCTTCAGTATCAAAAGCGAAGATTCGAGACAGGCAACAGCGTAAGATGGTAATGTGCTTCGGAAATTAATCAAAGTCTGAGCTGAAGAGTAAATGATAAAATGAATAACTATGCCTACTTCCTAAAGTTAAAGTCACAATGAGCTATATTGTAGTAATACTAATTATAATCACAATATGCGCATTATGATTTAATGACTAATAGTGGGTTTTTTCCCCCAAAATATGTGCAAAATTCAAAATGTCAAAAGATGATTTCTCATCCGTTTCGAAATCAATCTTGACTTAAATGGCAAATGTGTATTAAACATTATAATTGGCGTCGTTACAGTATGAGTAGCTAAATAGTGACAGATTTTCGAACCGGAAGGCCAAATCTAAGAAAATGTTTTGGATACTAAACTTTATTGTCTCTAAGCTTTCAAATAAATAGCTAATAGGTTTGAAACATTTAAGATGGATATATTTTTCGTTGATAGGTAGATTGCTTAGACTATAATTAGATAATTTATATGCGAATTGACCCTATTTAGTTTAAGGTGATAAGGGAACTGACATTTGAATTTTCTCACGAGGTGAAAACCTACTTATAACCAAAGAGTAAGTAGTATAGTCTATTGATATAGAAAATACAACTTTTCTTCATCGACACTCCCACCACAGAATGTTATATGGGAAAAATTCACATCTTCCCTTTAGACCAAATGCACTCGTGCCAATGTAGCGTAGCCGTTAACATGTCGAAATTATACTGATTGTGGAAAACACCTTAAACGAAATACGGGGAATCTCATAAAAAGATGTATATGATTTGGGAGAAATACGAGGAAAGATGGATTGTAAAGTAGGCTCGGGTGCGCACTTGCTGTTACAATATGAAATTATTCAACAATGAAATATGAACTGGATAATATATATATATCATCTAGCCATGATAGGAATGCAGTCATATGCTCGACAAATGTTCGGTGGGATCAAAGAGATAGGCCATTATTATTTGGTATACATTACTTAAATCACATGAGTAGTAGCACTTGTGGTTGAGATGAGGAAATCATCATTTCGAAGCATTTTATGGCGGAATTAGATTGGTGACGTGGAGACACCCTCTGGGCGTAAGGTACTGATATAAATAATGTAAGGCTACGTTTTACCCCAATTAAACCTAAATATTATCACTTTGTATTGCTTGTTTTTTACAAGAAATGTTTGATATCTCGGTACCATTGCCTTAATATTTACTAAGCACTGTTTCGAGAATCGTTGCTCCTATTCGGGCTTGAATGAGGCTATTAAAATGTTCCAAGTCATATTTATTTATCAAAATGATTTTGTTATGATGCAAACAAGAAGCGTATTGTTTCAGAGTACCTGCGACCCAATCCGAGGCAACGAGAATGATACCTTTCAATTGGCATGACATGCTTAAGTTAGTGCTTTACCGATCAACTTCCGTTGATGCAAAAACAGTGGGGTTGCTGCGTCCTGGTCTATTTTGTCAAATATCTTGTTGCTGAAATTGCCGGATCAGCGAGGGCAAGTTCGGCCGTCAGATGAAAAGCCCAAATGTTTTCATCAAGCATCAAGTATGATAGTCAATAGTCTGAACTGGAGCAAACTAGACGGCATCAGACTAGAATGTGTTTTTATTTCACACAGTTTCAGCTTCATTTCATCAATTCGGACCTATTAGACGCGAAGCCTATGCCCGGAGCAATTAAATATGCCTCCAGTTGTCTGATGGTGAGATTGACAAGTTGATAATATGCCCCAAAGCTATCAGATAAGGTGAACATGATGAATAACGGAATTGCAATTTTATTGAAATGGCCTTTTGCCAAAAATGAGGTTGGGGAGTGAAATCGTCGGTTGAAGCAAATTTATTTGCCTGAAAGTGAACGTGAAAGCGCACAGGACTCACATTCTAGCGAAATTAACCATTCCCACGAGAAGATCGACAGGATTTGTTGAACAAAAGCGAAATGCTATATCCAACTTTTTATGCCATGGCCACTATTCTCTCGGAACCAGTTTACAAAGAAAGCCTCAATAGTTGTGACATTTCAAGGTAAAACTTGGTTGGAAGGAATTTGTAAAATGGCCCCACCGGACACCGAAGTGGGATTTTCGAGGAGTAGAGTGAAGACTATTGGATTGTGCCAACAGTTTCTCGGCCCAACATCCTATGACTCTGATGGATGTCTGTACCATAATCCATATTTTACGAAATAGCGCAAAAATGTACTAACCCAAGAGAAAAGGTGGCCAGCTGCAACCCTAATCACATCTTTATAAAACTGATATTACGATCTCATTGAGACATCTCATTATGTGGTTGGCTTTCTCCAAATAAATCGAACTGTTTGCAGATGATGATGTTACTTTGCGAACTGGGAGTACGTCCGGTGGCAACCTTTCTTTATACAAATAAACTGACGTGTGATCCTTTAATGCTGATTAATGTTTATGGTATGTGATGTCAATGTTACGAGATGTGTGAGAGTCCTGACTAGACTCGAAGCTAATCCGGCCTCCCTATTTTGCTCAGTGGCTCTTCCTGCTCTCCAGCCCTCTCCCTCTCCTTCGACCTATCCAACAGCCATTGATAGTTACTACTCTATTTCCGGTTCGACCATTTCACACATTTCTTTCAACCAACTTTTCCTTGGAAATAGGGAAGTCATGTCGCAATAAATCACCGAGGAATTTTTCTAAACTCATTTTTATCTTTAGATTTCAAAAAATTATATCCTTTCCTTGCTTTTGGGACAGCAAGGCTATGTGAAATTCAATGGAAACGTCAGCTCAACTCATGTCATTGTGGGAAAATTCTTCTTCTACCAGTCGTTCCTCACCTTAAGCGAAATTGCGTGAATACATCTCATATTACTGATTTACTGGCAGTCTCGAAACTCTACTTCAATACGAAAATAAGTTTTTAATTGACTGGGACTCAGCAGTATTATATTGTGTTGTATAAAAACAATCTGCTAAAACTCGGCTAACGGTAATATACCATGGTGTAGAAGTGAATTTCTATAACTAGAAAGGTTGGGAATCTTAGGTAAGTCTTATATCATCATAGCCGTAGATCACAGGTTTGTTGGGGAGACTTTCTGAATCACATAGCCGCAAAGAGAACTTTATCAAGGCACCAACTTCAAAGTGCAAAACATCCTACTTGTAAGTAGTAGATATACTTATTTTTACTGCTTTATTTTCAGATCTCGTAATGTTTAACAATTTGATCAAAATACTATATTTTCAGTAGCTACGGCAAGAACTAGACCAATATTGCTGAAGATTTTGCGAATTCTGACACGTTGGAAGAAAAAATTAGGCAGACTTTTTTTTAGTAAACTTCTGATATAGAAAGGTTGGGAATGTTAACC